TACGTACTCATGGAATAAATCCAGCTTGGTGAGACATCTCTGGAGGTCATTGAAATTGTGTCAGATTCTTTCTTTCTTATCATTAATTGACAAATCATTTCTTTCCATAAAACTCACCAAGCATTTTTGAGTTGGATTCTGTATTGCACTTTGAGCTCATCATTTTGATCTTGTATTCATTGCATTGTAGTTCAGGGTCATTAGTTCATTGTATATATTTGCTGCATATTCATCCACAATATCTACTCAAAAGTTGGCATGAAGCTGAAGTCAGCCATGTATCTGATCACAATTGTCATGATTTTATCTCTCATTCTTCAGATAAGGTATATAACTTCTCTGAACTCAAATGAAATTTGAACTTTATAACCAAAATTTCATGGCAAAAGTTGATTTCTATATATAAATGTTGGAATAATGCACAAAGCGTGATTGATATAACTGATATATATATAAAAAAGAATAATTAGAATAATTGGCTTACCCTCTAGTCATGATACTTTATCTCTCATTTCAGCCACTCTCTTTCTAATACTTTGGTAGCCAATATATTAAATTTTCTGCTACTATTCTGTCAGTTGATTTTCTGTTTGAAATAACTTGATGGCTTTCTGTAGAAATCATTTTGTGAGAATGACAATATTTTCTTATGTTTTTTTTGACATTTTTTGTATATTTGAACCCATTGTTCCTCAATTATAAATACATATACAGTGTCTGGAAAGAATTGTGTGATAATGAAACTAATGAAAATTCAACATATCAGTTATATTTGAGTGCATTTGGGGTTTTTGACAAATTTTATGGACATATGAGTGGGTTTACATAAAAATTCACATCAGAAATCAATTTACTAAAGTAAAAATTGTCATTAAAAAAATTTTTGTTCAAAAAGTATTTATGTCATAAAAAGTTGTTCAATTGCTGGGGACCACCAGGTTCACATGAACTGTTGTCATAAATGAGTCTTTTCTGGTCAAGATATACTTGGAATCTAACACCACAACACAGATGTAAAAATGAGCAAGATTACAAAGTCCGTTGAGACTATCAGAAACAAGACATAAACACGCAGAATAGAGGCATCCTTACTCTCCGCTCTCTAAAATCCGAATGAATCCGTTCATACAACACCAGTCAGCAAACCTACGATTCTTTCTAAAGCAATCTTACAACTTCTACATCCTAATTAAAATACATCATTTTCCTCTACACTGTACATCAAGATAATACACATTGGTTTACCCCTTAATAATTAACCTAGCCCTCTACACAGTAAAGAAATGATTTTTATAGGAACCAATGTATGTTTTTTTTTATTTTACTCCAAGGAACTAGTTTGCATAATTGTTAGCAATAAAATTGGTAATGACATTCAATGTAAGGTTTATTTGGTCCAAAACAAAATAACTACTCAACACCATTACAAAAGTACATTTCTTCTGCAAGTAAGTGTTGCAAATTACCAATTATTCTCCAAAAAATTTAGGTGAACTTGTAAAAATCATAAAATTGACTTTGGTATGAAGGAGATTCATCTATTTATTTTTTATTTATTAAGTACAAGTATCCACTTAACTAATTATTAGTTTATTTATCAACTAACCACTTCTGGTGGTTATTTACTGATTTATCATCATTATATGCATTGAAAAGATGAAGAACAAGTTAGAGGACCTATTCATAATTATATCATTACACAATGGGTAGGTTTTTCCAAATTTAAGTTTTTACTGTCCATTTTTTATGAGGACAGTTAGGAAAAGCATTGCCATAGTCAGGGACTCCTGAATTGTATGCAAAGGTAAAATGAATCAGTCAGATGGCATACAGTTTTTTTGTTAACATGTGACAGTTGTATTGAAATGTCCTGGGTCTTCTGGAGATGGTCCTTTGTATCATAATCCCCACAGGAGTTATCACAATAACAAGTACGTAATCTGATGGCAGGATTTGCTCATCAAGATGTAGTTGTGGAACCTGCTAATAATTTATATTCAAGAAATAAAATGAAGGTTATTTGAATAAAAGGCAGCAGATTCTTATGATTATCTATTGGCATTTTAGCAGTAGGGTTGTTTAATCTTGATAATTTTTTTATTAGTTTTAATAATTAGTGATTAAATATGATAAAACATTGTGTGTTGTCATCATTCAGTTATTTATTGTTGACCATGGCAATAAATGAATCTGCCCATTGCAAACATTACAGTATATAAATATATTACTAAAATATATATATATATGTAATATATATTGCATATATTTACATGACCATTCTTGCACATCCAATATATTTTTCATCCAAGAAATAGCCACTGCAGCTATAATTTCTTAGTAGTTGACTGAATTCTAAATATGAGAGAAGCTTAGTTCATTCAATTTTTGTTGTTCTTCCAGAGTAAAAATTCCTTCTTAATTTCAAGCAAAAGAATTGATATGGCTGAAGTGCTGTCCTGTAAAAACAGAAACACTTGAATTTTTGTTACAAGAAACTATACCCATTATGTCATAATATAATTATTACAAGATCCTCTAACTTGTTCTATGGTCATGTGAGCCACTAAACCAAGCAAGTGACCATCAGATATCTCCATCATACTCATGTCCATATTGTTATTTTATCTAAATTTTTTGTAAATTTCTTCACATAAATTTGATGCAATACACTTCATAATTAATTGACGTATGTATTTTATGTTTGGCCTTTATCAACTGTATGGTTAAAATCACTTTCAACTGTGACATTAATCTAATTGCTGAAGTTTTTAAATTGGAACATGTGATACCCACATTTCTAAAAAAACGTTAGTTTATTGATGACATTTACACATGCACTATGCTTGTTGTGACTTACTTCATTTTTATGATATAGGTAATTAATATTATAAAATATAAAAAAAATTATGTCAAATATAATTTTTAAAAGTCTCTATAATTAGTTAATTATAGAGACTAATTATAATAATTAGTTTAAAGAAAGAAAATGGGTGCAAATAAAACCTGCAATTTTCCTTTGCCTTATTTCATGATTGTTTCAGGAGGATGTATGTGCATTATTAAGAAATGGTATGTAAACATGTGCAACACTTGAGATCTGAATAAAGCTGTTCAAATAGTCCTCAAAAGAAATTAACATATAGAAAAACAGCAAACTAATTCAATATAGCTTGGCAAAGGTTTATCATGATGGGATGTTTCTGTTCAAATAACCAAAACAAATCTACCACTTCTAGTGTTGCTTGATGGTTGCATTTCACATTTAGTACAGAAGCTAAGCAAGAGGATGTCACAATATTGGAGTTTCCATCTCAATGATTTCAATCAATGAGAATCTCAATGATTCTCATCTTGATTTCAGTCTAGGAGTATAACATACGGTACCGTACCAGTAGCGATTTTTGGCTTGTGAAAAGATAACTGGGTTGATCTACTGAACAATTGGATGATAATCATAAGCATTACTAATGGATCTTTTTGGAAAAATTAAATTGTCAATAGCTTTCCAAGTTGGTTCAAGGACTGTGAGAAGAAAATATTATGAGTGACTTTAGATTGGTCAAAATTTGGCCTTTCAATCCTGAAAAACATGACAGGTAAATTCTTGACCCTACAGTTAATTTTTGACTTACAGGAAAATTCTTGACCATACAGTTAATTTTTGACCCTACAGGTAAATTTTTCTGGTTAAGTAAGGCACAACATAAGTCAAACTAGGAAAGCCATAAAAAATGCCAGATGAAGGTTATTAAGATCAAAATGACCTTTATATATATGTCAGAAGGGGTAAGAGGACCAAAATCACTAACAAGCCTCTAGCATCTATACCATGAATAACTGAAAAACCCTAAACCTATCACAAGGTGTAGTTATGCAATGGACTTCTAAGCTACAACTCAGACGTTTTGCATCTAACATAGTTTTCTGTACAGATTAAAAAAAGTGAGCTGGTCCCATCTTACCCCATTGGGGTAAGATGGGACCAGGCTGGGGTAAGAAAGGACCAACTGGTAATTCTTATGTTACAAGGTTTTTAATAAAAGTACAAATCTGATATTCAATATTATCCATCTAGAAACATTATTTGATTAATCAACCACTTGTTACTGTTTTGTGTTGCGGGAAGTAACTCTAATATCAGTCATATTGAAGTTTTTGTCACAAGAAGACTTTGTTAAGCATAGTAAAAGTGGGTTGGCTTTGGTTCATTGTAGAGCACTACTAAATGCTTCATGTATATTCCATTAGTGTCATTGTCTGAAAAATTTATCAAATTGGTAATAAAACCAATGGATAATAACTTAAGTGTCAGACGTCATGTGTTTTCTTGCTAACTGCATTTGTGGTGCACTTCAAACTTAACTCATGCCCTCTCACAGAGCTGTGATCATAATTATTTTTCATGTTTCATACAAAGATTTTCCTCCAGCCAATCTTGCACATAGTTCTGCAGCTCACTAATGGGAATAGACATCCCTATTTTCTATATCCCTTTGATGCAATTTAAAATAGTGCACTAAATTTCTCTAATTAAAAAGCTAACAAGTTATAATGAAGTTTGAGCTAAAGATAAAAATGTTGACCAAAATACTCCATGTACTACACAATAAAATATTCATTTAAAAACTATTTTTGATATACTGTAGGGTAATAGAAGACCATTTGTGGGGTAAGACAGGACCATTTGTGGGGTAAGATAGGACCACTTGTGTGGTAAAACAGGATCATTTAGTGGTCCCGTCTTACCCCATGTCCGGTCCTTTTTACCCCATTTTGAAATACATGTCAGGCAGTGATGGTAGCAGGTAGGAAAGCCTAGTATGTCTAAAAAGTTGCCTATTACTCGAGGTTACCTGCCTACATCCACAAACCTGGCCAAAAAAATTTTTGTCATTAGACAGAGCTTATTTCCCAAACAGGGTTGGTTAACTATTTTGTGACCCTTCTTTACATAGGTTTTCTTTGAAAATTAGCCAGAAATTCATTATTTGCAGAAGAGGGTTGCCACACTGAAATGACAGGCAATGATTGTTGTCCGCCTCTAATAGCAAGCCAGTATCCTGCAGTATTCACAGGTATAGTACAGTCTTAAATAATTGTAGACGCTTTTATTCCAAAATTTTAATGACAAATGCCGTTTCAAGATAGCAAAAGTAGTATTTAATGATTAATATGAAATAATGAACAGCGAGAATAGAATTTTTGTGAATTAGTTTTTTAGGTTCACTCGTTAGATTCGTTTTCTGTTGACATGTACTAAGAAAAAATTAATTGCATGCATGCCTAATAAAATTTCCTAAATATCAAAATAAGCATATTTTTCTAAATAAAAATTAGATAATTTACCTTAAAATGATACTAGAGTCTGGACACTAGTATGATACACTAGTCCAGACACTCTTAGAGACTATACACTATAGTAACTAAACGATTACCAATCGCTTCACTCACTCAAAAGTTGATCGTAACTCCACTTACGCGACGTTTCAATCGGTGCAAAGTCACGTTCATCTTGTTGCACGTAACGTACCTCATAAAGTTTTGAAGGTACCATAATTTGGAGTTACGCGCACTTAGCGGACTTGTGCTGCACTTGAGCCGCTACGAGCACTTAGTAATGTTTTCAAAGTACCTGCCTAGTACAGGTACAGTACAGTTACGTTGTGGTTGCCCGCAGGTCGCGATGTTGCTGCAGTCGCTGCAATGCTGCTCCATGCTAAGCCTAAGCGTGTGGACGTAGACATGGAGGCCGCGGATCTGAGGGGGGCGCCGTGGGGGGCGCTCGTGGCGGCGGCAGGGGGCGTGGATGTCGTGCTGAAATTGTCCAGCCCTGACCGCAACGAGCATCACGACGACCTCCTCCTGCCACTGCAGGACAGCGGGTAAGTACCTGCAGCCTTGCAGGTGCATGTATTGCTTACAACGTATTGCTGGTCCATCACAATGGATTTCTAGTCATATTCATAACATAACATAACATAGTGATGTCGGCGTTGAAGTGTAGGCCTGATGTGGCCTGTCGCCGATTCTTTTCCTTTTCGTGCCTTGTTCATGCCTCCATATTCATATTCATGCCTCCCTTCACCCTCCTGGGGGACAGGGTGAGGCTGGTGACCTTCTCCGGTTGCGTGGGCACCTCCGCAGGGGTGGCGGCCCTCGCCTCATGCGTGGCCCGCGACGCTGACCTCTACATCAACATGGCGGCGCCCCTGGACCTCAGCGCCCTCGGGGGGACATACAAGTACCTCTGTGAGTCTTGCCCAGCACAAGGGGCCATTAAATAACTCAGCATTAATCACGGAGCATTATAATATTGTTATAATGCATATTATTTTAAGTATATGTACATTATATTATGTATATATGTACTTTGGTAAAACTGATGGCTTGCATCACTGTTATCTTGCATCGCTGTTATCCTCATTGTTATCTTATTTGACATGCGCAGGTATTTGTGTGTCGCGCCCCTTCCCTCCTCCTGGCCCCTCCTCCCCCACGTGGCCGCTGCCCTCCTCCCCCCCGCCAACGCTGGCCGTGGAGCTGGCGGATGTGGGGTCCTGGGAGGCCGGGGCCCACACCATCCTCTCCCTCGCCCCTCCTGGCAAGAGGTGCGTTGCCCCCCGACCCCGCGGGGGAAAATAGAGTCTGGGGAATGACAGTGCAGTTTGTGTCTGGGGATGACACTGCAGTTTGTGTCTGGGGGAATGACAGTGCAGTTTGTGTATCTTGGGATGACACTTCAGTTCGTGTGTCTGGGGGATGATACTGCAGTTTGTGTGTCTGGGGAATGACAGTGCAGTTTGTGTGTCTGGGGAATGACAGTGCAGTTTACGTGTCTGGGGAATGACACTGCAGTTTGTGTGTCTGGGGGATGGCACCGCAGTTTGTGTGTCGGGATGACACTGCAGTTTGTGTGTCTGGGGAATGACACTGCAGTTTGTGTGCCCAGGTTCGGGAGCCTTCGCTGCAGCCGCGGAGCCGCGGCTCTGGATCGCTGCAGCCTTCGAGCCGCGGTGCTGGTGTCGCTGCTCCAGCGGCTCCACGCCGCCGGAGTGAGGACGGAGACCGAGGGCGACACGTGCGCCGAGGTTGACGAGTGAGTGGACGGCGGCCACCGAACTGTGGGCCAATATTCTTATTTCTCTGAATAGTGGTGATGTGTGCCGCAAAAGAATGGCGGCCGATGATGATGGATCGCCCACTCAGATGGCGGCCTATCATTGGACACAGTGCCGTCATCACGACAATCAATATCATTTGACATCAGAATAATGATATATCTCATTATTTTTAATCCTATATCTTAATCCTGAATTCATATCAATTATATATAGGTATAATTTGATTATTTATTACCTATATAATATATTCTATTATATTATTTTATATCAATATAATATATTATTTATGTATTGATATAAGTTATATAAAATTATATTAAATTCCAATCCTACTTCATAATTTTTTCAATATATTAATTCTATATAATCCTGTATGATTATATGTAATTAATATATTAATGATAAAATGATGGCGCTCTGTCATTAGTCGCCATGTGTCTGGCAATGATAGCGCCACACAAGATGGCGGCTGCTGGTATGCCACATGCCACATGCCACGCAGGATATTCACTGCCGCACTCCCACAGGTGGGGGACTGTTCGCCTCTGGATCACGGACCAGTGGCCCACGGGGGGACCAGAGGTGCTCAGTGACGCCGAACTGCGCTGGCGAAAATACCTGGGCTGGCGAAAATTCCTGGATTAATAAGGCTGTGTGTGTTTTGTGTGGGATTAATGAGGCGGTGCGTGTTTTGTGTGGGATTAATAAGGCTGTGTGTGTTTTGTGTGGGGTTAATGAAGCTGTGTGTGTTTTGTGTGGGATTAATAAGGCTGTGTGTGTTTTGTGTGGGATTAATGAGGCGGTGTGTGTTTTGTGTGGGATTAATGAGGCGGTGTGTGTTTTGTGTGGGATTAATGAGGCTGTGTGTGTTTTGTGTGGGATTAATAAGGCTGTGTGTGGGATTAATGAAGCTGTGTGTGTTTTGTGTGGGATTAATGAAGCTGTGTGTGTTTTGTGTGGGATTAATGAGGCGGTGTGTTTTTTGTGGGATTGATGAGGCGGTGTGTGTTTTGTGTGGGATTAATGAGGCTGTGTGTGTGTTTTGTGTGGGATTAATGAGGCTGTGTGTGTTCTGTGTGGGATTAATGAGGCTGTGTGTGTGTTTTGTGTGGCATTACTGAGGCTACGTGTGTGTTTAGTGTGGGATTAATGAGGCTGTGTGTGTTTTGCGTGGGATTAATGAGGCTATGTGTGTTTTGTGTGAGATTAATGAGGTTGTGTGTGTGTTTTGTGTGGGATTAATGAGGCTACGTGTGTGTTTTGCGTGGGATTAATGAGGCTACGTGTGTGTTATGTGTGGGATTAATGCGGCTGTGTGTTTTGTGTGGCATTAATGAGGCTGTGTGTTTTGTGTGGGATTATTGAGGCTACGTGTGTGTTTTGTGTGGGATTAATGAGGCTGTGTGTGGGTTTTGTGTGGGATTAATGAGGCTGTGTGTGTGTTTTGTGTGTGATTAATGAGGTTGTGGGTGTTTTGTGTTGGATTGTGAGCCTGTGTGTGTGTTTTGTGTAGGATTAATGGGGCTGTGTGTTTTTTGTGTGGAATTAATAAGACTATATGTGCTTTTTCTCATATGGATGTCCCTTGTTTTACTGTCATTAATATATTACCTCACTTACGGCCTAACATATATTATTTTATATAATTAGTGTTTACTTGATTTTATTTGTAACACAATTAGTTAGATATTTTGTTGAACGAGTTTTAATTTATGAACATAATTCTTGTATTGTTGCAGGGCAAAGCGAAACCGAGTCGTCCCTTCTTCCTCAAGCCATGCTGGCGTTAAACCTGAATAATGGTGACGATGTGGTGAATGGTGGTGATATTGACATTATGGTGTATGATGGTGATGGTGACATTATGGTGAATGGTGGTGATGGCGACGATGTGGTGAATGGTGGTGATGGTGAAATTAGGGTGAATGATGGTGATGGTGACGATGTGGTGAATGATGGTGATGGTGACATTATGGTGAATGATGGTGATGGCGACGATATGGTGTATGATGGTGATGGTGACGATGTGGTGAATGATGGTGATGGTGACATTATGGTGAATGATGGTGATGGTGACGATGTGGTGAATGATGGTGATGGCGACGATATAGTGTATGATGATGATGGTGACGATGTGGTGAATGATGGTGATGGTGACATTATGGTGAATGATGGTGATGGCGACGATGTGGTGTATGATGATGATGGTGACATTATGGTGAATGATGGTAATGGCGACGATATAGTGTATGATGATGATGGTGACGAATATGGTGAATGATGCTGATGCATGGTGGCGATATGGTGAACGATGCTGATGCATGGTGTCGATATGGTGAATGATGACGGTTAAGCACTTAATGTCACTTCAGCAGCTGCCTGCAGTTCAGACTGGACGTGCCAGCTCCAGTGTATGTTCTTATATGAATTAGATTAAGCTTAGCGGAATATCCGATAGTGTTCATTTGAAACTGATTGTTACAGTTAGGTTTACGATGTAAGATTATGAGAAGGAATTTCACTCGTCGACGCAAATATATTATATATTTTTAAAGCCTATTATCCATAGAAATGGTGTAAATGACCGATTTTTTATTGCCTATCTATTATTCTACCGTATTAAAGCAAAGAGACGTCGTCTTCTAATTAAATCGGATATTGTTCTGTTTCATTCATTCGTCAGATTTAAGATTAAACTGTTTCATTCATTCATTAGATTTTTGAGATTGTCTATAGATTTGAGATTGTGCATAGGAACACTGATAACATTTTTGCAGGGCCTACTAATGGAGAAATGTAGTGATGCAACGCTAAGGATTTTGCAATACTGTACTTGGGTTAAACTCTTATCAGGACGAACAGAAATTATATTTTAATCATTAGTAATATTGATGAGAAGAATACATTGACTGATATGAAAATGTTAAGATAATGCTTCCTTTGACGTCCATCCTTTTATTTCTCCTCATTATTTATTTTATATATTAAAAATTGGATGCTAATTAGTGGTGTGGAGCTCAAATTCGAATAACACACTAGTGCACCAACAATCCTGGGGTCATACTTTCAAAACTCGCTAAGTGAACGTTAGTACTTACGCTCTATTTTCTTGTCTATGATTGGGGGATTTTGATTGCGTGGCCGTCAATGATTGGCTGATGGGCTTACGATCTCTTAACTTTTTTTTTGAAAGTATAGGCCCTGGTTCGTAACAGTAACACTTTCTCCGGTTGAATTTTTTTCGCAAATCTTTATAAGTGTTGTCTGAAGCTAATAATTATCTAGAAGAAGAATAATGTACCACGTTGGAAAATGAACGCTTCGTGCAGTACTGCAAACTAAACTACTCCAATTGACGTCGTACAGAATACATTAGTCCGACCTCAGTTACAAGTTTTCTCTTGCAACGAGAGTTGCTGTATTGTTTGCTCAGGAATAAGGTTGACTGAGTTACGTCATATAGAGTTACGACTGAGTTACGTCATATGTCACGTCCCTAGTGGCTTAGGCGAAATTTCGATACTCGGGTTTCAAGGAGTTTTATTGGGTAATCTTGAAAACATAGTTTCGAAGTTTCGCCACTAAAGAGGTTTGAACTACGAATGACAATTTATGTCCAGGTAAACTTCGGTCGGATGACTGAAGGTCTAAACAGAAAGTTTACGTGAAGCGTACATTTGAAAAATTGCGATTACACCCGCCCCCAATTTGGAACTTAGTTACAAATTAATAATCATTCATGACTATCGCAATAAGATTAGTTTTACAATCGGTCTCTCTACAACAACAGAGTCTATCTCAGCATTAGTTCCATTTCTGTATTTGGCCATCCGAATTCGTGCAACTCGAACAAGGCCGCGGTCGTCAGGTAATACTTCGACGACGCGCCCCAAAGGCCAATGGTTGCGTGGTAGCTGATGATCGGTTACGAGAACGAGGTCACCCACGCGTAGATGATCCTTTTCAGTTGTCCATTTTTGGCGCTCTTGAAGAAGTGGCAGGTATTGCCTTTTCCATCTTGACCAGAAAAGGTCGGCCAAGTACTGAATTTGTCTCCACCGTTTCTTAATGAAGTTTTCGGATGGGTCAACTAGGCCCGGAGGAAAGGTGACACCGGCATTCCAGAGAAGCACGTGGTTCGGCGTTAGTGCTTCAAAATCGTCAGGATCATTCGACATTTCTGTGAGAGGTCGGTTATTCAGACATGCCTCGACCTCGCAAAAGAGCGTCGAGAGTCCTTCGTCTGATAACTTTGTACGTTGTTCATTCATGAGAGCTGTCATAACGTTGCGCACGGTGCGTATTTCGCGCTCCCATACTCCGCCAAAGTGCGAAGCGTGTGGCGGCCGAAAGTGCCATTCTATGTGCATTAGCTTCAGCCAATCTTCGATTTGTTTAGTATTCCAGTCATTTATGGCGTCCCGAATTTCGCGTTGGCCTCCAACAAAATTAGTTCCGTTGTCTGAACGGAATGATTTTACGCTGCCGCGGCGACACATGAATCGCCTTAACGCAGAAATGAATGAATCAGTGGAGAGAGAATAAGCAACTTCGAGGTGGACTGCTCTGCTCGCCATGCACGAGAACAGTACGCCGTATCTTTTTTCTTGCCTACGGCCCAAGGTGACATAAAATGGGCCAAAATAATCAATCCCCGTAGATGAAAAGGCTGGATTTTGATCTGCCACTCTATCGCGTGGGAGATCTGACATAAGGGTGTGGCACGGCCTGCCATGAAGTTTTCGGCAAGTGAGACATTCGCGTAAAATCTTTCTCACGAGTGAGTTTGCTTTGACAATCCAGTATTTCTGCCTGAGAACTGACAGAACGGTTTGTAGCCCGAGATGACCAACATTTTTATGACAATATCGAACTAGCAGAGTCGCCGCGTCTGAGGCTTGCGGAACAATAATAAGATGCTGGACTTCGAACGCTTGACTGGATTTTTGCGTTCGGCCGCCCACTCTCATCAGCCCTTCAGTATCAAGGAACGGCGTCAGTTTTGCCAGTGTGTCAGATTTAGGCAGGCGACCATCCTTTTGGAGAGTTGCGACGCTTTTAGAAAACCATTTGAGTTGCGAATATTTTAGGATTTCCTTTTCGGCGGTTTGAAGTTCCTTGACGGAAAGCGCATTGCTTTCGGTGTGCAAACCTCTCAGATGATTTTTAAATCTGAGAATCCACACGATTCTCTTCTTCAATTTTGTCCATTCTGAGCACCGAAACAATTTGTCAGTTGGTGTAGTTTCAATTCTAGTTGACAAAATTTTCTTCGTCGTTAAGATTTCTGGGTCGTCGTTGCCAATTGCAAGATTCTCGGATAATGACGGCCACGTTGATTTGTCCATTGACAAGTATTTTGGTCCGCAAATCCACAACTCATTTTTGAGGAATGGCTGGACATTTGATCCCCTGCTGATGACGTCAGCAGGATTTTGGTTAGACTGTACGTAGTGCCACTGCTCGGGAGCAGTGTGGCTCCGTATGAAATTCACCTTATTAGCTACAAATTTTTGAAACCTGGACGTTTCATTGTTAATGTATTTCAGCACAGTGGTGCTGTCAGACCAGAGAAAACATTGCTTTACCTCCAGGTCCAACTCTTCTTTCAGAGTTAGCAGGATGATTACGCCCATTCGAGCACCGCAGAGCTCGATCCTGGGTACAGTTTTGAGCGTGGTGTTGTTAATTGGCGACAGACGAGACTTTGCCATTATTGGGCTGCTTACCTGGATGCACGAATCGCTCTCCATTCGTAAGTAAGCGACGGCTCCGTATGCAGTTTCTGAGCCGTCACAAAAAACGTGCACCTCGACGCAAGCTGGTGTAATAAGTTTGATGCATCTGGGGATTTTGAACTCCCCTAGAAGAGCAATGTCCCCCTTCCAGACATTCCACACTCTTAGTAGTTCAGCTGGGAGTTCAGAATCCCAATCTAGTTTTTGCTTACAGCATTCCAGGAACAGTTTTCGGGCAGGCAGCAAGACGGGACCAACAATTCCCAATGGATCGAAGATTGAAGAAACTATTCTAAGAATATTTCTACGTGTCGGTGACATTTCTTTTACGCTCACCTTATATTCGAAAGTGTCGTCGGACAAGTTCCACAACACGCCGAGTACTCTATCTGGAGCAGTTCCGGTAACGGCTGGTAGGAACTCTAGACCATTCTGTTTCAAATCAGAATTTAGGTAATTACCTTTGAATCCTGTCAAGTTGAACCCTCATTCAGCAAGGAGCCCTTTTACTTCACCGCAAAGCAATTCAGCTGCTGCTGGATCCGATGAAGATAGAAGGAAGTCGTTGACGTAGAAATTCCTTTGGACGGCTGTTTTAGCTGCAGCGCTCCAGCGGTGCGCGTCAAGCGCAGCGCGACGAAGAGCGAACGAAGCTACGCTAGGGGAACTTCTGGCACCAAATACATGCACGCGCAGTCTGTACTCGACTGGCTTACCTTGATCGTCGTACCAGAAGAAACGCATCAAGTTTGAATGTTTTTGTGGGACCCTTACCTGGTAATACATTTTCTCTATATCTGCCATGCTAGCGACAGGTCCTTGTCTGAAACGCAGGAGAACACCGAGCAAGAGATTCGTCAAATCTTGGCCTTCCAACAGGTTGTCATTCAGAGATACGCCACAATATTTTAACGAGCAATCAAATACCACTCTGATATTTTTCTTGGTTTTGTGAAACACAGCATGATGAACCAAGAACCAAGCTTCACCTGGTTCGTACTGGAGCTGTTCTTGAGGAACCCTCTCAACGAAAAGGTTAGTTATCATCATTTGCATAAATGCAGCATAGTCTTCAAAGAAATTAGCGTCACGTTTAAACCGTCTCTCTA